ACAAATAAATAAATAAATAAAATCTTTAAAAAAAAAAATCTTTTTTTGGTCTAAATTCTAGTTGTTATGCTTACTGCTGAGTTATATTATCTATGTAGGCTTCAAATTATCACTTTTTAAACTAATTCACTAACAAATATTTTATTCTACATGAAAAGTTAATTTGAGGAAATATCAATTTCACAAATTCGGCCACATATGTTACTTTTCACAGTAAATTCATAAGAATTTATGATCTTCCAAATTCACTTCTGGTGCATTTTGGACTCTAACCTTTTAGCAGAACATAGCCCTACTTTTAAAACAGTAAATTTAAAATAAACAATTTTAGTTGCAAAAGATTTTTCTTTTCCAAGTTATTTTTTTTATTAAGGTAATGTATCAGATGAGGTCAATCAGACACAAAAATATCTGCAAACCACAAGAATAAGCCTTGAACAACACACAGTAAAACACCAAGGTTTAAAATTGTTCCATGAATACCAGCTCACAGAAATCGTGAAGAAAGCTATAACTATGCAACAACAAAATATAAGGAAATTGACAGAAAAAAGAATCAAAATTTGAGGACTGCCAGAAGAGACAAGAGATGATGGCTTTCACGGACAAAAATAATTAAGGACAATGTCTGGTGCTGTACGTTTTCACAAAGTGGACATTTCTTCTAAAGCAATGCATCAAATAATGTCACAGTGTCAGTTCATCCTCTTGACTTTTGCTGAAGAAAATCTTCACAAGATTTTACCACTAGGAATTTATGATGAATTTTCAATTGTGGAAATCCTGAAAGCTGCAAGAATTGATCCCAAAGAAATAAGACACAGACAATATAATAATTTCTGGAATTTATTGTGAAACAGGATTTGTATAAATCTATGCCAACATATCCATATGTTTAAGACTTTTCCTAACTACTTCAGACAAAAAAAACTTTTCAAAATTAAAATTAACAAGAAGTGTTCTCTGGTCACCTATGAGCGAGGACAGAGTGACAAATCTAAGTGTGCTATCTACTGAACATGAATATGTTATTAGTCTCCTAAAACCCTAGGAGACTAATACACTGCTCTACAATTTATTGTCTCATAGTCCTGAAGGCTGGAAGTCCAAAATCAATGTGACACCTGGGCCATGAATTCTTTCAAGAATCTTGGGAAAATTTTGTTCGATGTCTTTCTCTTAGTTTCAGGTGTCTGCCAGAAATCCTTGCCGATCCTTGGCTCCCAACTGCCTAACTGGGATCTCTGACTTCTTGGTCACGTGGCATTCTCCCTGTGTGTCTCTAGTCTTCACATGGTTGTCTTTACTCTGTGTGTCTGTCTCTCCACTTGTGATTTTTTTGTTTTTTGTTTTTTTTGAGGACACCAGTCATTTGGATTAGATGCCCACTCTACTCCGGTATGACCTCATCTTAATAATTAATTGCAACTGCAATAATCCTATTTCCAAATAAGGTCATATTCTGAGGGGAGTGTGGTGGAGGTTGGGAGGGGTTTGGGCTTAACATATCTTTCTGGGGGCGGGGCAGGGGAAGACACAATTCAACCCACAACAAGGAGTAATTTTGACAAAGTGATTGCAAAGTGTCTGCCAATTTGCAGACATTAAGACTCAAAAACAGAAACTAGAACGCTACTACACATTAACACAAATGCATAGGTATGTTTCTCACCTTTTAAAAAAAATACACGTATGTAATTAAAAAGTATTAACCCATTACTTTTCCTTTGCTGTACTTTCTAACTGGGATGGTTACTATATGTACTTCAACAAAAGAAAATGTTCAGTTAACTGCGCTTCTTTTCTGAGCATCACTTTTATTCACTTCCCCATTATTACGGAAAATAATTTTGTGACAAAAAGACACGCTCGGGGTGTCAGACACGCGGGCTCGCCACCGCTCGGACTTGGCTGGGCCGCCGGCTACAGCGCCCCGACTCCTCCGGGGGGGCGGCCTTCCCCTCAGATACTCACTTTCCCAGCAGGCTCCGCGGCGCTTCCTGTCGCCCTAGAGGCCACAAGATGACTGACGCAGCCCAGGAGAAACTCGACGGCCGCTTCGTCCCACACTAGGGGGCGCCTGGTTCCCCGGAGCGACAAGGAGTGCCCGAGGCCCGCCTCGCTCTCCTCCTCTGGAAGAAGCCAACACCTCTTCTCCGCCCTCCCCCAGGTTGCCAACGAGGCAGGCTCTGATACTCATGCGCAAACACGTCCACCACGCACCTAGGTACGGCGCATGCGTTCTCCCAAAGCCGTCTCCTCGGCGTCTCCCTTCGAGTTTCCAGTTCCGGCCTCACAGGGGCGGAGGGAAGTCAGGAAATATGCGGCTGTCCGTCGCCGCCGCCATCTCCCATGGCCGTGTATTCCGCCGTCTGGGCCTTGGTCCGGAGTCCCGCATCCACCTGTTGCGGAACTTGCTTACCGGCCTGGTGCGACACGAACGCATCGAGGCGTCATGGGCGCGCGTGGACGAAATGAGGGGCTACGCCGAGAAGGTGAGGGGCGGGGCCACGCAAGGCGAGTGAGTTGGGGGCGGGACCCTTCTGTCCTCCAGGAGCATCAGGCCTGAGATGCGGCTGGACTTGGGGGACAAGTGGGATAGCCCTGGCAATCCCCGCCCAAAGTCTGAATCCCCTGGTACCCTGAGTTGACCCCTCTCCTCCGGCCCCTCAAATGGACGACTAGTTAGAGCTGCGGAGTTAGGAGTGGCCTGAATTAGAGGGGTGCTTTGCTGGTGGAATGAATGGGTTGCGGTCCCGCATTAGAGAAGTAAGATTGCGCCTCCTGGGGCGCCTGGGTGGCTCAGTCGTTAAGCGTCTGCCTTCGGCTCAGGTCATGATCCCAGGGTCCTGGGATCGAGCCCC